TATCAAAACATCACAAATCCACAATATGTTTTTAGGGCAAAATTATGCAAGTTCCACAGCATCTGATATTACATTGTATAAAAATTTTGATTAAGATGTTTATGCTGTTTAATTTTATAGGTAAAATAAACTGAAAGACTTAGATGGAATAATTAACTTTTAAATATGTGTTGATATTTTTACACAACAAAGTAGAAGACATGGTAAGTAAATGATGGGAGTTCTTTAACACTGAGGTCTACATGAATTCAGATGCCTCTTGTAAATAACCAAGGGGTAACTTGCAAAAGTCTAAGAGAAAATACATTATTAGGGATATATGTACATGTATATACATGTATATGAAGGTTACTTTTCTACTTTTTATTAGATACAATTTTTCAATATTCTGATGAGATGCTAACCTTCCTTGCCTAGTAAATAAATCATCATGAGGGAGAATGTTTCACTTATGAACCTGGAAGATTAACAGTAATATAGAAATATAGTACATTTTTCTTAAACATTTTTAAGAAATCTGTGGCATATATTTCATTCTAGCTAAAACGTATTTGGATCTCACTAATTCCCACAAATTAAGTTCACCTTGAAACACCTGGTAACCATTCTCAGGTATCCTAGAACCACTCAAATGGCCTTGAGGATTCTAAACTACAGATGGAATGATGCTGGGAAAAGGTAATTCTCTCCATGTGTTAGTGAGATCATATTTAAATTTCTCTCCTGTTTTTTCTCATTACTTGACAGGCATGTACTAGATTGCATATCAGCATATGTGAAGAATTTGTCAACTCTAGATCTGCTAATAGACTACTAAACTTAAATACATGATATGAAAAAAGGTTTGTACCTTAGAAGCTTCCCTTCTTAGAATAGTGGCTTTCACTGCTGGCTGTATGGAGCCTTCTAGACTGTGGGTCAGGCATGTTCCCTCAGCCTGCGAAGACCCCACTTGTGTGTCCACAGGGCCTCACATGTGCTGACTCATCTTCTTCACTCATTGGCATAAAAACTTCTCTCCTTATGACCACAATTATGGCCATCTTCTCCTGCACACTATAGACAGCTCTGTTAGGATTCTTACATTGTGACTTTTCTTTGCTTTTCCATCTTGAAGTCTTAAATCAAGCATGAAATGTTGAAACTACGATAGTAAAGATGAAGGAATAATGGAAACTTATGGCCAAAAGGGAACCCTGCTGCATTTTTGGTGGGAGTGTAAACTTGTTAAACCGTTCTGGAAAGCAATATGGAGTTCCTCAAACGACTCCACTTAGAGCTCCCTTATGACCCAGTAATCCCACTTTTGTAATCACAAACAAGGTCATACCAAAGCTACCAGCACAACCATGTTTATCCTAGGATTATTTTTTTTTGTTTTGTTTTTTTGGGGTCTGGTCGTGGGGCCTGAACTCTGGGCCTGGGCGCTGTCCCTCAGCTCTTCAGCTCAAGGCTAGCACTCTACCACTTGAGCCACAGCACCACTTCTGGCTTTTTTCTTTTTCTTATGTGGTGCTGAGGAATCGAACCCAGGGCCTCATGCATGCAAGGCAAGCGCTCTACCACTGAGCCACCTTCCCAGCCCCTATCCTAGGATTATTTACCATAGCTAAGATATGGAACCAACCCCAATGCCCCTCAGTAGATGAATGGATCAAGCAAATATGGTATATTTGTACAATGGAATTCTATGCCTCCGTCAGAAAGAATGACATTCCCTCATTTGTTAGGAAATGGAAAGACTTGGAAAAGATTATATTAAGTGCAGTAAGAAAGGCCCAAAGAAACATAGATCCCATGGTTTCCCTTGTTTGCAATGACTAGTACACATCTAGGATAAGCAGAGAAGGTCAAAGGCTATGTACATATGACCACATGAGATAATATTATGCAAAATGTACCCCAAGACAGGGACACAAGTGGTTTTTTTCTTGCTTGCTAGTGTTTTTAATGTACTTACAATGCACTATGTGATTCTTTAGTTTCTTTTGTATGTTCTTCCTGCACAGTATAACTCTTATTTTCACTGGATTTGATGCCAGTGTTCTGCATCTTGTATATACATTTTTGTAATTTGGGGAGGGGAAGGGATATTGCAGAATGCTTAAATGGGGATGCAGGCTGACCCATTGTGAAGATGAGATGTACAGGACACTATGTTGAAAACCAACTTTACAATTCAGGGTGGGGGAGTGTGGGAGGAGTTGGGGAGGTAGGGAAGGAATTGATGGTAGGGGAAAACAAAGGAGGAGATAACAATGCTCACTACAAAATGTACTCATTACCCTACTCATTTAACTGTAATCCTAACATTTTTACTATATACATATATATCATATATAATATATATATGGAAACTTTGGTCATAACTTCTTGGTTAAAATGTCAATAGTTCAATAAATAGGACTGCTAGGATTCTATCAACCTAGAAATCTTCACTTGGTAAAGCTAAAAGTCATTAACTAAAAAGTTGACCTACAGAGTACAGCTAAAATGCAGTGAATAAGCTGAATAAATAGGAAGCACAGACAACTAAACTCTTAAAGAATCGAAAACCCAATTAACAATTTGATAAACGAGTTTAAAGATTCATTTCAAAACAAGAAGTCAAAAGGGCCAACATATACATGAGGAAATGATCTACATCTGTGGCCATGAAGAAAAGATAAACCTGAATTTTATCTCACTCCAGTCAGAATGACTATCATGAAGAACACACATAACAGAAAATGCTAGTTAGAATGTGTAGGAAGCCAATACCTATGTACTGTTCATGGAAAGGTCAATTCATGCCACCATTATAGAAATCAGTATGGAGTTTCTCCAAAGAACTAAAAACAGATCTCCTATGCCAGCCAGTTATATCATACTAGGCTGGATATTCAAAAGAATGTAATTGAAGGTACAATAATCACACTTGGACACCCAAGTGTACTGCATAAATATTCATATTAGTCAAACTATGGAAATAGTTCAGATGCTTTCTAAAATATTATTCACAATCAGAACAGGAATATTTTATTGCTATGATAATGCAGATAACTGATGATTATCATGTGAAATAAGCCAGGTTTAGAAAGACAAAGGTCACATGCTTTTTCTCAAATATGGGAGCCAGACCTAAAGACAACATATATACATACTTAAGAAACACACACACACACACACATTTTTGTAATTATGGTATTCTTTGAAAAGGTTAGGAGAAGAGAGAGGAGAAAATAGAATTATAAAATACGTGTAACAACAAAGTACATGTGTGGCTGAAGATGGCATAACTACACTCAATGCAAGCTATTGGTTAATATCTGGAGGAGAGATGAGGAAAAAGGAAGTAATATGTAGGTATATTTAGGTTGAAATATTACATATGCAGCTGTGAAATACACAGTGAATCTATTCTAACAGTTATACGTTAAAATGAAGGAAAGAAGTGTAATTGAGATCATGTCCTATTGTAGGTATTATAAAGATGAGATGGGGCAGTAAATGGCGATGGAGAAGGGAAGGAAGTGAACCAAAGTCAATGTACTTCTTGCACATAGATGAAAATGGAAAAATAAAACCAGCAGACATTCTTTTAATAAGGGAAGTAGTGAATGAATTTGTCATGGAGGGTTCGAATCTGATCAGAGCAAATTGCATGTATATGTAGAAATGATCAGAAGAAAACTTCTACAACTGATAGACAGTACTAAAGAGTATAAAAATGTGTTAAAATTCTATTTACTGCAATAAGTATCAGAATGATTAAGATCAAGCGTAACCTCATTAGAAAATTTTGTATTATCATCACAAAGACAGGTTATTCAGAGCTCCATTATGTTTGCAAAAGCATTACATAGAAAATATGGAAAGTTTCTGTGAATTCCATATCCCACACTTCCATTGTTAGCCTTACTAATAGCATGCTGTGTTAGTGTGGTCCATGGTACAATATATGATTAGCACATCATTAGATTGTTCTGTCCTTGACTTATGCTCACATGCAATTTCTTTTCTGTCCCACATATTATGACTCCAGGAAAGTGTATCACAGTATGCATTCCACAAAATAGCCTGGAATAAAATAAAATCACTGCACTTTAGAGCCATTCTATAGGGCCATTGAGAAGTTTGTATAGATCCAATGTCCAATATATTTGAGTGGTAGAAATTACAGAGATGGTTTTGATAGGGAAGAAAGGGTTGTTTGGGCAAGCACAGGTACTCAGAAAAGCATAAATACAGACACCCAAGGTAGTGAATGTATTGATGCTTCATGGCAGTGTATTGACCCATGTACTCCGGTTGTCCAGTGATATTGTCAGTTGTGAAGGTCAAGTTCAGAATACAATTCTGCAGCTCAACTTCTGCACTATCAGCCATTGCTGAATTGAACATGATCAATCACTCATTCTCCAGGCAATCATAGATGGACATATTTGTGGAGTCTTCTGCATGGGATTCTACTGAAATTGGCTTGGGTCAACCAGCAATTTTCTGTTGCTATTTTAGACATTGGGTGTGTGAGATGTCCTCTGAGTGCTAAAGACTTGGGTTGACATCTCCCTGGCATGAACCTTTGTGAACCATCTCACCTTTCACGTGACATGGAATCTATTGATGTTTTCCAGTTGAATCAGCCCTAATAGACTTCATACAAATCATTTGCTAATCCAGGCTTCCAACAGAATCTAACAAGAAAACTTCATCCCCAAGGTCTTACTCTCTGTGGTCATGGATGAAAGCATAACACCTGGAGAGGACAACTGGTAAACATGTTTTCCAACTTTTCTTTATTTCCTGGTTGTTGGGCCTCAGATGCAGAACCACAGGGCTGGGAGTTTTCCACATTCCTACCAGGAAATGCTGAAGGTTGCAATGAAAGAAGCAAAGTAGCCATCCCTGTCAACAAAAAGCTACATATACACATAGACATAAATAAAATCTATATATCTGCACCGGATCCCACAGGCTTCACTTCCAGCCAGAATTCCTGCTTGGCAGATGCTTCAGTGATGTTCCCTTTGATTTTCATCCTCCTTCTTCTCCAGCTTCCACTCCTTGTCAGCTCCTTAGAAGGCACTGCCTGCTTTTCTAGAATGAAGCACAGGGCACACATAGATGGAGATGTGATGATTGCTGGGTTCTTCCCTCTCTACACTTTGGGAACAGATCGCAGAAACAGCGATGCTTCCCATGATGAAGCAAACAAAATGTAAGTAATACCTCCATAGTTTTGTTTCCAGTTATGCTTTTGTTTTCAGGATGGGGAATGCCTGAAGAACTCTGGAGCCTCACAACTCTTCCCCAAACTCTCATCAAGTGACTAGATGTACTATTGGTTTTATTTGGGGCTTTATTTATTTATATGATTCAAGGACGGCCATGGGCAATTTCCTTTGTCCCAGAATCGCTATTTGATTCCTATTGCAACAGAAGGTTATTGTCTATAGCAAATGGTTCCCACCTCTTTTCCAGTGCTGTGTGACAAGGATAGACTGTGAGGTGACTTGCCACATTTGGAGGCAGAGATGACAAGATCAGGAATTCTTTCACTGCTTTGGAATAGATTTGTATATATCCTAACCCTCCATGCCATTCCTAGATATTTGTCTTTCTTATGCACCTCTAGTTTTTCACATTCACCTTATTTTCTTTCCCTTGATACTGTAAATTATATTTGAGTGTCTTTATTAGTGCACTTACACAGACACATTGAATGTTAAGGTTGCAGCTGAAGGATGTTTCTCAGCTACTTACAGGTATGCAAGATCTGCTAGTGGAAATCAGAGAAGTCTGGCCTCATTATCCTATGATCCAGTTTCTAAAATTTATGTGTTACAAGTTAAAGATCATTATGTATCATTTATGAAGTCCTCTATACAGATAAATGCAGCATGGCAATAGGATGTCACTGGAAGGAATGAACTCAATGCCACACCAATAGATGTTATTTCAATGTTTTTCAATTGTGACTACAATGTAGGACTTGGGGTAACTATTTGTTTTCTTACTTTGTTTCTTTATTTCATGCCATGTACTTTGTAGTCACCCCCACTATTTGTGACCATTTATTATGTCTCATCACACATGCTGTTTCTCCTCCCATATCTATAATTTTCTGTTTCTCTTTTTATGTATTTTTCTTGCAAAAGAAAATATATGATTTATTCTTCTTTTTTCCAAAGAAAACTCATCTTCATATACAGAAGGCATATCCTATTTATTCCTGTGTTTTGGACATTCTGGATAATTCTATAAATTGGATAGTTGGTATAAAATGACATCCATGTTTACACATTCATCTGTATAGAAACCTGGGCTTGATACATTGGAGAGATAGCTAGAATTGATATATATGTGTCAAATATGAGCTCTTTTGTTAATATCCTGAGGTATCTTCATTGTTTCTTATTTGTACATATCTTCACCAAATTTGTTACTTTGTGTTTTGAAGATAGCTATTCTGGGTTACATGATAAGGTATTTCAGAATACCTATGGTTTGCATTGTGCTGATTGTTATAATGGTTTTATATGTTTCCTGTATGGATTTCTTATTTGTACTTTTTCATTTGAAAAAAGTCTTTCACTTCATGTGCCTGTTTCATGGTAGGATTAGTTTTTGTATTGGTGTTTAAATTTCAGTGTTGTTTTATACTATGATATTAAGCCCTAACAGATGAATAGCTAACAAAAGTTGATAACCATTTATTTGCCTGTGTCTTCATTAAATGTTTCTTTTGTTGTACTGAAAATTTAAAACTTTAAAATTTTTTTATTTTGGTGCTACTAATCTGCTTTAGACAAGATGTTTCTCCCCCTTGCTTGATATGTTTGCTCAAGGATGGTACTTCACCAATAGAGGCATAGCTGTAGTTTTACCTTATTGCTGGTTCATTTGAGATAAGTCTCAGAGTACTTTTGTGTCCAGGCTGGCTTTAAACTGTGATAACTTCAGACATGAGCCTCAATGCTTGACTGGATGAAAGATTTCAATTTTATAAAATCACATTTGTAAACTGTGCTGAGGATTGGATTCTTCCTCTTGTGAGTGAAAAAAATGATTACACCACTGTGTCCAATGCAGAACACAACTTTTGTTATTTTATGAAGTATTTGTGTCCTGTGCCTATATCTTGAATAATTTCCACTATGACTATACCTGTAATTTTCCAATTCTCAAGTTTCCTATTCAGAATTGTGATGAATTTTGACTTTTATCCTTTTGGAGAATATGAAAAGAAAGATCAGGCCTAAGTATTTGTCATATGGATACTCTGTTTTCACAGTTCCATATTTAATATGGGTGTCAACTTCCAGTAATGCAGGATTGGACAACGACTATAAGAGTAAGATGAATATAGTTAATTGAGAATATTTCTAGGTCTTCTATTACATTGATATATGTTTTTATGAAAGTGCAGTTTTTATGTTACTATGGCTCTCTACTATAATTGAAAGTAGGAGTCACACTAGTTTGACATAGGTCTTTTGCCTCTGGATAGCTTTGGCAAATTGTGGATTTTTTTGGTAGGAGTTATGGGATTGTCATTCTTGTTTCTGTACAGAAACATTAATACATTTTTATTGTAAAAATACTGTACAGAGGGGTTACATTTACATGAGCAAGGTAATGAGTACATTTCCTATCAAGCATTGTAACCTCCTCCTTTGTTTTTCCCCTGCCATCCTTTCCCTTCCACCTCCAAACTACACTCCCCTCCTCCCTTTCTCCACTACTCCCTGCTTAAATTGTAAAGTTCATTTTCAATATAATATCTTGTAAATCTCATTGCTACAATGAATCAACCTTTATCCTTATTTAAGCATTTTGTTTTTTTCCTTTCCCCTCTCCAAGCTAGAGAAGTGTATATACAAGATGCAGGGCACTGACGTCAAATAGAGTGAAAACAGGGGTTATACCATGGGGGAGGAACATACAATGAAACAAAAAAATCACGTTGTACATCATAAATACCTTAGGAACAATAGCAAAAAAGAAAAAAAAAAACACTTGTGTCCCTATCTTGGGGTTCATTTCGCTTACCATCATTTTATCTGCTCATATGTACATAGCTTTTGAACTTTTCTACTTGTCCCAGACATATACTAGTTATTGAAAATAAGGGAAACCATAGGACCTATGTTTCTTTGGTCGTGTCATACTTCACTTAATACAATTTTTTCCAAGTCTTTCCATTTCCTAACAAATGGGACAATGTCATTCTTTCTGATAGAATTCCATTGTGTATATATACCACATTTTCTTAATCCATTCATCTACTGAGAGGCATCTGGGTTGGTTATATCTTAGCTATGGAAATAATACTGCAATAAACATAGTTGTGCTGGTAGGTTGAGTATGGTCTTGTTTGTGTTCATGTGAGTAAATGCCCAAAAGTGGGATTGCTGGGACATAGGGGAGCTCTACGTGGAGTTTTTGAGGAACTCCATACTGCTTTCCAAAGTGGGTGAACGAGTTTACACTCCCACCAACAATGCAGTAGGGTTTCCTTTGGACCACATCCCCTCCAGCATCTGCTATTATTCAATTTATTGATTATAGCCATTCTAACTGGGGTGAGGTGGAATCTCAATGTTGTTTTGATTTGCATTTCTTTTATGGCTAGAGAAGTTGAGCATTTCTTCATGTTTCTATTGGCCATAATTATTTCCTTTTCAGAGAAGTTTCTCTTCAAGTGGTTAGCCCATTTATTTATCCAGCAGTTGTTTCTTTGAGGGTTTGAGAGGTTCTAATTACATTTTAGATATGAGACTCTTGTCCATTTTTTGGCTAGTGAAGATCTTCTCCCAATCTGTGGGCTTTCTTTTAATCTTGCTAGCTATGTCTTTTGCCATGCAGAAGCTCTAAAGTTTCATGCAATCCCATTTGTCAAATATTTCTTTGATTTATTGTGTTTCTGTGTCTTTATTAAGAAAATTTTGGCCAGTGCCAAGAAACCCTAGAGTTTCTCCTATTCCTTCCTGTAATGTTTTGACTGTTTCTGCTTTGATTCCAAGGTCCTTGAGATATTTGAAGTTGGTTCTGATGAAGGGTGATATATAAGGATCAAGCTTTAGTTTTCTACAGGTGTTTGAACAACTTTTCCAGCCCCATTTACTAAAGAGATTGTCTTTATTCCATTCTATTTTTTAGCTCCCTTATCGAAGAATAGGTGGCTATAGGTCTATGGGTTCATTTCCGGGTCTTCAGTTCTATTCCATTGTTCCTCAGGTTTGTTCTTGTGCCAGTGCCAAGCTGTTTTTATTACTATGGCTTTGTAGTAGTGTTTGAAATTTGGTATTGATATTCCTCCAGCACTGTTCTTTCTGCTAAGGATTGTTTTTCCTATTCAGGTTCTTTAATTGTTCCATATGAATTTGGGGGTAGCTTCTACTGTTTCCTTGAAGAATGAATTTGGGATATTTATAGGTATCTTATTGAATTTGTAGATAAGCTTTGGCAACATTGCCACTTTCACGATGTTAATCCTCCTAATCCAGGAGCTTGGGAGGTTTTCAACTTTCTAAGTTCTGCTTTAGTTTCCTTTTTCAGGTTTTTAAAGTTTTCATTGTAGAGGTACTTCACTTCTTTGGTTAAGTTAATTCCTAGGTATTTTAGTTTTTTGTGGGGCTGTTACAAAAGGAGTTGCTTTCTTGATTTCAGCCACGATCTTCTCATTGTTGGTATACAGAAAAGTCATTGATTTTTCAGGGTTAATTTTATACCCTGCTACCTTGCCAAAGTTTCAAATCAGCTTGAGTAATTTGGGAGTGGAGTTCATGGGATTCTTTAAATACAAGATCATGTCATCTGCAAAGAGGGAGGGTTTTACTTCATCTTTCTCTATTTGGATCTCCTTTATATTCGCATCTTTTCTTATTGCCATAGCTAGGCATTCTCATACTAAATTGAAGAATAGAGAGAGTGGACATCCTTGTCTCACTCCTGAGTTTAGAGGAAATAGATTAACTTTTCTCCATTAAGTTTAATGCTGGCTATAGGTTTGTATTGCACAGCTTTTATTATACTAAGGAATGTTCCTTGGATTCCTAATTTTTCCCAAGTTTTCATTACAAAGGGGTGTTGGATCTTCTCAAATGCTTTTTCTGCATCTATTGAGATAAACATGTAGTTCTTCTCCTTGCTCTTGTTGATGTGATGAATTATATTAATTGATTTGCATATATTGAACCAGCTATGCATCCCTGAAATGAATCTTGTTTGATTGTGGAGTACGAATTTTTTTGGTGAGTTGTTGAAGTCCATTGGCCAAAATTATGTTGAGAAATTTTGCATCAATGTTCATCAAAGTAATGGGTCTATAGTTCTCTTTCTTTGATGAGTCCCTGCCTGGTTTGGGGATGAGGGTCACGATGGCTTCATAAAAAGAGTTTGTAGGGACTTTTCATTTTTCAATATCATTCAAGAGTTAGAGGAGTATTTGGTGTGAGTTCTGATTTGAAGGCCTTGTAGAATTCAGCTGTAAATCCATCCATTCCTTCATTTTCTTTGGTGTGATTTCTCTTATTCCTGGTTCTACACAAGGTGTGTCTCTTGAAGGCAGCAGATAGAAGGATCTTGCATTTTGATCCAACTAGACAGTCTATGTGGCTTAAGTTGAGAATTAAGTCCATTAATATTGAGAGTTAGGACTGAGATGTGTTTGGTAATTCCTGCCAAGGTATCCACCTTCTTGGGGGCTATGCCAACTGGGTTCTTCCTATGATTATGGGATTCTCTGTTTGGGGGCTCTTTCTTAGCTTTTATTGTGGTCTTGTTGGTTTTCTATGTGTAGGACATCTTTAAGTATCTTTTGTAGGGCTGGTTTGGTGGAAATATATTGTTTCAGTTTTTCTTTGCTATGGAAGGTTATTACTTAACCTTCCATTATGAAGAAGAGTATTCTTGGTTGATAGCTGTTTGTCTTTAGGGCATGGCATATGAATTCCAGGCTCTTATTGCTTTAATTGTCTCTGCTGAGAAATCTGAAGTTATTCTAATTGGCTTCCATTTATAGGGGAAGCCTTGATAGCTTTAAGGATCTTTTCTTTGGTCTGAATTGATCCTGTGCAGATCAAAATGTGATGGTAGGATGTCCTGTTCTGGTCTGGTTGATGTTCTAAAAGCTTCTTGTATCTGAATAGTCCTATCTTTTTTGCATATTTGGGAAGTTCTCTGCTAGGATCTTCTTAAATAAAATTCCTAGACAATTAACTTCTGTCTCTAGGTGCTTCTCTACACCCATTAGTCTCAGATTAGGCTTTCTGATGGTGTCTTTTAAATGTTGACTAGGTCTATCATATTTCATGGATTTGTCTTAAATACTTCTCTGAAGTTTCTCTTTAATATCTATGCTGTCTCTAATCCCAGAGATTCGATTTTCCACATGGTCTAACCTATTGTCAAGACTTTTTACTTTGTTTTGTATTTCCTTTTCTTCTAATTGGCCAGCTTTGATTGCTTCAAATTCTTTGTTGGAGCTTTGTTTTACAACTTGAACGGACTTCTTTACTTCCTTAATTTGGTTTTTAGTGTTCATTCTTCTATCCCTAGTTCATTGGTTATGGTTTCATTGGATTCCCTTTCCTTCTGATGGGCTCCATTCAGCATTCCCTTTGTGGACTCCCTGGATTCCTTCATCTGTCTGTTTGTGGATTCCATGAAAGCCTTCATTAATCTTTGTGTATGCTCATCCCACTCATGAAATTCTTGTATTAAAATTTGATTAGCTTCCTCACACTCACAAAGTTCCTGTAGAAATCTTTGGTTAGCCTAATCATGCTCCTGAAATTCCTGTATCATTTTTTGAATAGACTCATAAAGCTCATGCTTTTCCCTCTCTTACTGACTCATTTTCCTATTACACTCACACAGAGTCCTTTTCAGGCTTTCAATCTTTTCATTCAGCATGTTTACCAATAGTGTTTGTAGAGCCTTTGGGGAAGTCTCCTCTGGATTATTCATTAACTGCTCTGTTGGCTGATTATCATGAGTGGCAGTTGAGATAGCTGGACTTGACATTTTTCTTGTGTTTTTCCAGCTTGTTCTGCCTATTTGGTATATATACTTGAAAATATAGTTGTGAAGTTGATAATACTTTTCTTCTTCTAAGAAATATGTATATAGTTAATAGCATATATAAAATGTTAGAACATTGTCAGATTATATTATCATTCATCATAAAGTTTTATACATCGTTGTCTTCTTTTCTTTGTCATTAACTTTTTTGCATTGAAAATTTTTCTTTCCTATTCCTTGTAGAAGATATCTAATAGTGATAAATTTCCTTAACCTTGATTGACAGGAAATATCTTGATCTCTGCTTCAGTGCTATGGGATATCTTTGCTAAATGCAGTACACATGGTGGATACTTGGTATCATACCAACAGTGCTGTAAAGATATCCTGCCCCTCTGTCCTGGTTTGGGCAGATTTTAATGAGAAGTCAGCTGTTAGGGAAACAGGGGCACACTTATGTACTATGATTTCCTTTTCATTTGCAGACTTGACAGGACTTGATCATAGGAGAGCTTGTCCAAGATGAGAGGGTGGACTGTTTGATTGACCTTGATCACCCTAAACTTGGTTTGCTTTGACTTGAAATCAGGTACTGGGTGCTGTACCTGAGCTATTTGCTCAAGGCTCGCACTCTACCACATGAGCCACAGCTCCACTTCCAGTGTTTTGCTAGTTACTTGGAGATAAGGATCATATGGGGTTTTCTACTATGGCTGGCTTTGAAGTTTGATCCTGGCATCTCAGCCTCCTGAGTAGTTAGGATTACACTCAGTGCTACCACTCTACCACTTGAGCCTCAGTTCCATTCTGGCATTTTCGTTGTTAAATGATGATATGAGTCTCTTGGCTTTACTGCCCCGGGCTTGCTTCCCTACTGTGATCCTCAAATCTCAGGCTTCTGAGTAGATAGAATTATAAGTGTGAGCCACTGGTGTCCACAGACACAATTGCCAATTTCTAATAACTTTTTCACACATTCTTTCTCTCTTTCACACATTCTGCTTGGCTTTTGCATTACTCTTCCACATAAGGGTTATTATTACTATGATTATTTTTAGCAATACTGGAGTTTGAACTCAGTCTCTTCATTCTTTCCCTAATCTTTTTGTGCTCAAAGATAGTGCTTTTATTAATTGATCTACAACTTCACTTCCAGTTTTCTTGTAGGTTAATTGGAGATAAGCATCTTACAGTCTTTCTGGCCAGGGCTGGTTTTTGGAGAGGGTAGAGATCTTTGACATTCTTACTCCCTGTACCCTTTCCTTTTCATTATCGCAATCTACATACATATCTTGTGAAGGAAGTACTCATCATCAAGGCATTTCCCAGCACTAAATTTCACCCTGCTGGCCTTGAAACAGGGATTTCAGACTAGGGCTTTATTTAATTACAACTCTCTTTCCATCCTCCAGTTTGGAGGCTCATCTCCTTGTGAGGAGTTTCTTGGAATGTAGTGGAGGAAAGTGATATGGGAAACCACTTTCTGCTGCATTTTTAAAGCATCTCATTTGCTTTGTTACACATATGAGATTTAGGCTGTTTTCTTGAGGCTTCAACTATTTTTTCTGGTAGCTAGTGCAGAAAGAGTTGTTTGATGTGTTGGTGCTGCAAGCAAAACCACAGGGCCTTCCTCATATGACCCCTTGCTCTACCTTTGAAAGTTGTATCAATCTTAAATTGATACATTATCTAAATTAGCATGGCCTCCAGATAGCCATATAACTTAAAGTGAGTGGCTTAAAAATCAAAGACTTATTTTTCACACATGTGGTGGTAGTTACCCCAACAATAAAACAAAAGAATATTTGGTGTCTCATGAAGACCCACTCCATGTTTAATAGAGCATATGCTTTTTTGGTGGGTTACCTATGAAAGACAGAAAAAATCAAGCTCTCTGGGATTATATATAGACATGATATTACTAATATCTCATAAAAGGTGCAATTTTTCAATATATTTAATTTGTAGAGGAACAAACATTGAATCCACCAAAGTCATTGCATTGATGTGAAGATAAGTTTTGGATTATTCTTGATCAATTTCTTATGTCTCCTGTGCAGGTTTGTTTTCAAGTGCTATCAGCTTGTCCTGGCTTTGGCTTTTGTTATTGAAGAAATCAACAACAACTCCAATCTTTTACACAACATGACTTTGGGATTTGATATCTATAATGCTGATTTCAGAGCTTGGTCTGCCTTTGAGAACTCTTTTATTTGGCTTTCTGGGCCAAGCAAGATCCCTAACTACACTTGCATAGGAGAAAGTAATTTTGTAGCAGTACTTGCAGGAACATCAGGAATGACATCTGTGCAGATTGGAACACTGCTGGAACTCTACAAATTTCCACAGGTGAAGTACAGAGGGAGGTGTAAGATGTCTCCTTTGATTCCATTTTGAGTTGCTATAAGAAAATGCTAGGAAAAGTCATAACATAAAGACGTATGCTTTTTTATAATGTCTAAAGTTAAGTACTCCAAAATACTGTGTTATCCAGCCTCTCATCGTTTAAATGAGAATAGAAAATGTTAGAGAAAACCATGGGATGACCATGAGCCTAAGGCTTGTGGAATAATTTTTTAGAAAGCAATCAGGAAGTGGGAAATGATTAAAATATGAAGTTATTGAGTGAACAAAGTTAAGCATAGAAAAGCAAAATGTTTTCTCTCATCTGTGGAAGTTGAATTTAAAATATAAACATGGAATACAAAATCAGTATAAGAAACTGTAAGTGGCGAGAAACACATATACATGATTAAATTAGCTAAATTATGGTATATAGAAAAGTGGATTTCCATGGTGTAACCACTCTGGACAGTTAACACTATGGAATTAAAGATTTAATATGTAAGGGGTATGATATTAAAAGGATTATGATGAAGGTTAAAAAAAGAGGAATAATGTGCAAGTATACTCATAGTATTCAAGTATATTTGGGCAAATGAAACAAGGAACAAGGAAATGAGTAATGTTGGTATAGAAGAGGCAAGAATAATAGCAACAATGGGATAATGATCAATAGGCATTATATACATAATTGACAAGCTCAGTTTAAAAATCATTGTATAATGATTTAAAAATAATTTTTACAATTTAATTAAAAATTTCAAAACCAAACTTTTCCTTCCACCTAACTCAACCTGTTGCTGAATATAAATCAAGACTTAGGTTGTGATGTATAGGAAATTTCTTACTTGTGAGCCTCCATTTTTCTTTCCCTTTAGCTTACCTTTGGGGCTTTTGATCCTGCCCTGAGTGACCATGTCAAGTTTCCTTCTCTCTATCAAATATCCCCAAAGGACACATTTCTAGCGATTGCCATGGTCTCCTTACTACTTCATTTCAGCTGGAACTGGGTAGGGCTATTGATCTCACAAGATGAGAATGGTTTATCGATCCTTTCAGAACTGAGAGAAGCAATGGACAAGAACAAAATCTGTGTAGCCTTTGAGCATATGATTTCTGACAGTACTCTGACACAAGTAATTAACCTCATAACAATTCAGAACCAGATCAATAAATCATCAGCAAATGTACTTATCATTTATGGTAAAAAGGAATACCTGTTAGACTTAATGGTATATCTTGGGCAATATTTAATAACAAGCAAAGTTTGGCTCTTGAACTCACAGTGTGATTTATCCATCGGAAGGAAGTATTTCATGTTAGGCTCATTCCATGTACCTCTCATTTTTTCATATCACCATGAAGACATAGCTGGATTCACAGATTTTATCAGGGAAGTCAACCCTTCCAAATATCCAGAAGACTTTTACCTTGCTAAGTTGTGGTTTTTCTCTTTTAATTGCTCCCATTTTGAGTCTGACTGTGTAATGTGGGAGAACTGTCCACATGCTGCCTCCTTGGAATGGTTGCCTGTGCAAATTTTTGACATGGCCATGTCTGAAGAGAGTTACAATATCTATAATGCTGTCTATGCTGTGGCATGGGCTCTCCATGAGATACTTCTTCTTCAAACAGAAGAGCCAGCAATGAGTAATGAGAGATGGAGGGTGCCTTCCCCTGCACAGGTAATACCTCCCCTTTTCAAATCTATACATGAAAACCAAAGTAAATTTTAATACATTCAAAACTTTTGCAAAAGACCCAAGAGGAATTGTACTTTTAAAAATATTTGTAAGGTTACTCCAAACCTCTCTTCACGTGCTCTTTGAGAAAAATAGCATTGGAAATTTGTGACATTTTCCCAAATATTGCTGTTACAAGTTACCACAATAACCTCACACTGAATGCTTTTACAATCAGTCTTTTCACTAGAAGCTTCTCAATAGCAAAGGATGATCTGTTCTTTAAGTACTTAATTATTCCAATGATTTTGTTTCTTAGAAAGTAACTTAAAGGATGGAGGGTTTGGAAAAGATGAAGTAGAATGATGAATGAGTAAATTGAGATAGCTTGTATTCACACATTGATTTTGGATATCACATAAAGATAGTAAAAAGAATCATGGACAATTTCCATATTTAACATGTTAAGAAATTAAATGAGCTGAGTGCCAATGACTCACTCCTCTAATCCTAGCTACTCAGGAGACTGAGATATTAGGATCACTGTTGGAAGCCAGTGTAGGCAGGAAAGTCTCTGAGACTATTATCTCAAATTCACAACCAGAAAACTAGAATTGGCTTTGTGACCCAAAGTGGTAGAATGGTAGCCTTCAGTGAACAAGCTGAGAGATAATACCTAGGCTCTGAGTGCAAGACCCATGATATATAGAAATAAAAATAAAAAATTAAATAAGTAAATGTACAAAAACAAATAACCTTGTTTATTCCACATTATATATCATCAATTTGCCAATAAAATTTCTGGGGTATTGATAGAATTATGAGTTCCACAAATCTTTTAGATAGCCAACTGAGAATTGTCTTAGTCATTGTTATGTAGAGGTGATTTCTCTTGAAAAAAAAATGCCTTGTAATAATCAGAATTCAGAAGCATGACCTTTTTAGTTCCCTCTACACATTCTTTAGTGAGACTTCATTTGATATCTTTGTTAATTTTGAATGATAAAGTAAGGAGTAAGGATTAAAGAAAATGAGAGGTTTGGTTGAATTCAGCATTTCTGTTTCAACTCTTGGATTCTCTTTACCATGACATGATGTATCTCTTGTAGCTGCACCCTTTTCTGAAGAACATCCAATTTTACAATCCTGCTGGAGACCAAGTGATTTTGAATGAGGAAAGGAAATTAGAGGCAGAGTATGATATTTTGAATATTTGGAACTTTCCAGAAGGTCTTGAACTCAAAGTGAAAATTGGGAAGTTTTCTCCATATGCTCCTCATGATCATCAACTGTCTGTATCTAAAGATATGATAGAGTGGGCCATAGGAACTACCGAGGTGGGTTCAAGATAACACAAATGATTAGAACTCATTGTAAGTAAGCAAAAAGGACTCCTATATCTTATGTCCCTTGTGCTCACTAATCATCCAGTATTGTACATTTAATGAGTTTTAACTTGAAATTGTCTGATTCACTTTAGATGGGACAGAAATGTACTAATAGAACATTTCTAAGTGCTCATTTATCATGAAATCTAGATGACATCTGTTATAATCATATTTTAGTATTAAAACAAAATACCTGAAAAAGCAATAATTTCATAAGGTTGAAAGGTTTATTTTGCTCCCTCAGTGCATGTTTCCATCCACCCTTAGTTGACCTGTTATTTAGGCATCCATGGTGAGAGGATTCACCTAAGGAGCCTGTACCAGAGGAACATTTTGATCTCAAACAAATGGAAAACAAATAGGAACATACGAGGGGCTTGGGGTCTACCATGGTATTAAAAGTTTCAATGAGTATTTTACTTCTTGTTTCTATATTTCCATATTTCACAAAGTAGTAGGAGAAAAGTTATGCTATAAGCCATGCACCAGTTGCTCATACCTGCCTGTAATCCTAGCTACTAAGGGAACTGAGATCTGAGGATCATGGTTCAAAGCCAGCTCTAGTAGGAAAGTCCATGAGATTCTTATCACCAATAAACAACCAGCAAACTGGAAGTGGCACTGTGGCTCAAGTGGTAAAGTGCTCTCTTTAAGCTGAAGAGCTGAAGTACAATGCCCAGGCCTAGAGTTCAAGACCCATGACTGACAAAAGAAAACCTCTATGAAGCCAAGGAAGTTTCTGGCAAGTGGCCAGAAATATCTTACCCTTAGGAGCCACCTCTTAAAGGTTCCACAGTTCTCAATAGTATCATGGGCTGAAGTTGAAAGCTATAGCACAAAAGCCTTTGTGGATTGTGTCAGAAAATCTAAAATAACATCCAATCAATTAATTGTCTCTAAGTATATAAAATAATTATACTTATGGTCAAATGTTTAGGAACACCTGTTCTTTTTGAATGTCATTTAATAGACTGAATATTTACCAACACATATCTGATTTTCCTCAGCCTCCTTACTCTGTTTGCAGTGAGAGTTGTGGTCCTGGATTCCGGAAATCCCCTCAGGTGGGAAAGGTTGTCTGTTGCTTTGACTGTGCACCTTGCGTAGAGAATGAGATTTCTAATGGGACAGGTAAGTCTCTGACTTCTTAAGAAATTCTCTAACTCATCCTAGTATTCCCTAATGTATCCAAGTCCAAGGAAAAAGTTTGTATTTGGATTACAGAACCAAAGTCTTCCATTTTTCAGTACTTAAATTGTAACAATTGATGATATTGCTATTTGAAATAATACACCTCATGGCCTTAAATTATGTATGAAATTAATTTTGCTATGACATTTTATACATGTTTATCTCAAGGAAACCCATTCTCCACTACTCAATAATGAATTTTTACATATTTTTATTGTGGTTCTCAAGTTGTTCTATAGAGAAATTACAGTTACTGTAATCAAGTAAAGAGTCCAACTGTAATCAAGTAAAGAGTCCAATTCTTTTTTTTAAATTTTATTTGTGACTGTACAGAGGAGTTACAGTTACATGGGCAGGATAATGCGTACATTTCTTGAGTCCAATTCTTTTTGAACCATGTTTCCCCTTCCCTGGCTCTCTTCCAGTTTTCCCTTCCTGTCCCCCACTGACAAGATGTACAGTTAAATTTCCACATAGTATTTAGTAAGTACCACTGTTGTATTTATTTTCCTTTGTTGTATTTGTCCTAACTTTTCTGTGCCCACCTTATCCTTCCAAATACAAACTAATAAGACAAAAAAAAAAAAACAACAGCAACTAAAAAGCATGTTTCCTTTTCTTGGAATTCATTTCATGCAACACTGTTTCCATTTTTTATTTATTTTTTGTCGGTCATGATGCCTAAACTCTGGGCTTGAGCGCTGTTCCTCAGCTCTTCAGCTGAAGGCTAGCATTCTACTACTTCAGCCATAACTCCACTTCTAGCTTTTTCTGCTTATGTGGTGCTGAGGAATCAAACCCAGAGTCTTATGCATGCGATGCAAGCACTCTAACATTGAGCCACCTTCCAGCCCACAACATTGTTTCCTATGAACATTTACACCTAGCTATGAGCCTTTTCAACCACTCCTATGCATATACTCCTTTGGCCTCAGTGAATATCTAGAGTCCATTTAGCTTGAGGTTAAGTATGAATACCTATTAAAGACAGACTCTCCATTATCTTCCAAATTACATTTATGCCACAAAGAACACATAAATCTTGCATATCTTTTTTATGTATGCAGACTGGTCTTGCTATAGAGAAAGTTCTTAGAAAGCTGAATTGGGTCTTGTTTGTGATCATTTGGGTAAATGCCCAAAAGTGGGATTGCTGGGTCATAGGGGAGCTCTATGTGGAGTCCATACTACTTTCCAAAATGGTTGAACAAGGTTACACTCCCACCAATAATGCAGTAGGGTTCCCTTCTGTCCACATCCCCTCCAGCATCTGAAGTTATTAGCGATCTTGATTATAGCCTTTCTAACTGAAGCTACCAGCACGACTGTGTTTATTGCAGCATTATTAACCATAGCTAAGATATGGAACCAACCCAGATTCCTCTTAGGAGATGAAAGGATCAAGAATATGTGGCATATATACACAATGGAATTCTATGCCTCCATCAGAAAGAATGACATTGCCCCATTTGTTAGGAAATGGAAAGACGAAAAAAATTATATCAAGTGAAGTAAGCCAGGTGCAAACAGACATAGGTCCCATGGTTTCCCTTATCTGCAATAACTAATATATGTCTGAGACAAGCAGAAACGGTCAGGTAAGTTGATATTAGGCAAAATGAACCTCAAGATAAGGACTCAAATGTTTTTTTTTTCTTTCTTGCTATTGTTTCTAACATATTTAAAAGATATTTCTTTGTTACTTTGTATGTCCCTCCCCCGTGGTATAACCCCTGTTTTCACTGTATTTGATGTTGGTATAATTTGCGGAGGGGAAGGGAAAAAAACTAATTGTTTAAATAGGGATACAGGTGGACCCTTTGCAACACTGAGATGTACAACACGTTATGTCGAAAAACGAACTTTACAATTTTGGTGCGGGTGGGAGGATGAAGGAGATTGGGGGGGAATGGGGGATGGGGGGATGGGAAGACACGGGGCGGGGTGGAGATGGGAAGTGATGGGAAAGGGAAGCAAAGGAGGAGGCAACAATGCTTGATAAGAACTGTACTCATTACCTTGCCCATGTAATTGTAACCCCTCTGTACGGTATTTTCACTATAAAAAAACTATAAAAAATTAAAAAACATAAAAAAGAGAGCTGAGTTGGGTTTAAGTATTAGACACAAGTGTTCTGTAGAGCATGAATTTAAAGCTGAGAGAGCCTTGATTCTCTGTTACCACTATCTCACAGGTAGAAAGAGACACAAATAGAGTGTGATGAATAAAAGAATGTAACACTGCCTTCTTTTAAAATTTCAAACAAACACAAACAGCAATGTAAGCTATATTATTCACAAATTTGAATACCAGTAGCAGAATCATGCACACAGTGCTGAGAGCTCATATAATAGCTCATGAAAAGTCAGGAAATTACTTTTAGTACATTTGAAGTATGTAAAATGACCTATTTCCTATATGCGTTGAAGTCAGTCTTAGAAAAAAGAGAATGTCTTCTGAATTCATTACTCTTACTTTCAGGTATTTTGCCCCAATTTTAGAATGCTAATATAATAGATGTTTCAAAGATTTTATGATAAGTGAAATTTTAGAAATGTACGATTACCATGTTTCTTTCCTATCTAAGAGTCAGTGAGTAAGACAAGAGAATGAAAAAGCAAATAATGAGGATGAGGTTGATGCTATGGGATAGAAAAGGTGCAAAAGACCAGTACCAGGCATTTTTATATTACTTGGTAATGGGTTATAATAAGTAGTAACATGCTAGAGACCCTTCTAAGAGGGGACTTACCAATTTCAATTGAGAAAAAGGAAGTACCAAAGCAAGACAAATGTAACTCCCTTTTCTTACCAGATATGGAGCAGTGTATAAAGTGTCCAGATGATGAGTATCCCAACACAGAGAGAAACCAGTGCCTCCCCAAAGCTGCAAGTTTCCTGACTCATGAAGAACCCTTGGGAATGGCCCTGGACTGTGTGGCTCTCTGTTTCTCCAAACTCACTGCTGCTATTCTTGGGGTCTTTGTTAAGTATCAGGACACCCCCATTGTGAAAGCCAACAACCTGTCTCTCAGTTATATCCTGCTCATCTCCCTCATATTCTGTTTCCTCTGTTCCTTGCTCTTTATTGGCCATCCTAACACAATCACTTGCATCCTGCAGCAGACCATATTTGGGCTTGTCTTCACTGTGGCTGTTTCCACAGTGTTGGCTAAAACTGTGACTGTGGTTCTGGCCTTCAGAGCCACTTCTCCAGGGAGAAGGATTAGGTGGCTGCTGGTATCAGGGGCTCCTAACTTCATCATTCCCATCTGCACCCTCATCCAGGTGACTCTCTGTGGATTCTGGCTGGGAACCTCTCCTCCCTTTGTGGACACTGATGCACACACTGAACATGGCTACATCATCATCCTGTGCAACAAGGGCTCCCTCACCGCTTTCTACTGTGTCCTGGGATATCTGGGCTCCCTGGCCCTGGCCAGCTTCACTGTGGCTTTTCTGGCCAGGAATCTGCCTGACACCTTCAATGAAGCCAAGTTCCTGACCTTCAGCATGCTGGTGTTCTGCAGTGTGTGGCTCACCTTCCTTCCTGTCTACCACAGTGCCAAGGGGAAGGTCATGGTGGCTGTGGAGGTCTTCTGCATCTTGGCCTCCAGTGCAGGGCTTCTGTGTTGCATCTTTGTCCCCAAGTGCTACATCATCTTGAGAAGACCAGATAGAAATTCTCTGCATGGCTTCAAGGACAAAATACATACTCAGAGAAAGAAGCCTTCTTAAGATATAACTCATGTGTTTGATTAAATGCATAGAAGGTTTAAACTACAGTCCATTTCCCATCTTGTATTATTTTATATTGTGAGAATTACTTCAACAAGCAATGTAGATCTTACTGGTTCCTCTAGCAGTAGTATAGTTACTAATTTTAGCCATAGCTGCCTAATTTTGAATTTTATTCAGCTTGTTTTTGGTTTCTGTCTGCACTTAACCCTATCATTCCTAATTTCAAGTATATTTTTATAGCTGTCAATCTTCTCCATTTGCTTTTGAAGTCACTTTTGTATATTTAGTATACTATTCCTTGTCTTTATATCAGTATTGTTTAGTCCTCTAATAAATTTCAATAGATTTTCCTTTTAATTAAGTTCCATGATATGTGTGTGTGTGTGTGTGTGTGTGTGTGTGTGTGTGTGTGTGTGTGTGTGTGTGTGTTAGTCCTGGGGCTTGAACTTGGCCTACATACTGACCATTTCTTTCTTTTTTTTTTTTTTTGGTTGGTTTTAGGTCTTGAACTGTTCCTGGGTGCTGTCCTTGAGCTCTTCAAGTTCAAGGTGAACACTGTACCACTTGAGCCATTGTGCCACTTCTGGTTTTCTCTTAGTTAATTGGAGAAAAATATCACACAGACTTTCCTGCCTGGGCTGGCTTTGAACTGTGATCCTGAAATCTCAGCCTCCTGAGTACAGTCATGAACCACTGGTGCCCAGTTGACCATTTCTTAAATTATGTGATATGCCCACTTTCAAATTACACAAAACCTTTTATCCATAAGGCAAAACACAAAATATTTTTTCAGACTGACACTTCTCAGCCTTCCTCCACTGGAACAAATTGTACTGTCTGGACCAACTACTTGAAGGCCAAACTAAATGGTTCTCATGTTTATTTCAAGTGTTGTAACAAACCTGGAAAAGTAACTGTCATTACAGAACTCTGACTTCCAAGCTTTCTGTTTAGAAGTTTCATGGAGCTAACAAACATTCTTCCAATAAAGTTACAGGATACCTCCCAATACACTTTCAAAGTTTTTAATTTTTGCCTTAAAAATGAGAGGGTCATTAGAAACAAAATACTCTGAAACTGGGTTAATAAAATAAAACAAATGAAAAACAACAAAAAGGTCTCTTCTTGCAGAGCTGTGAATGTTTTTTTTAGATTTTTTAAACTTTACTCTTAAGTATCTGTTCCAACCAAACGTTCCTCCTGTTCCTGTATAATGTCATTAAGATTTCTTTTATTATTATTATTATTATTATTGTAAAAATACCATTCAGAGGGGGTACAATTACATGGGTGATATAGTGAGTACATTTCTTATCAAGCATTGTTGCCTCCTCCTTTGTTTCCCCATACCATCCCTTCCCCTCTCCACCCCACCTATAGGTCCCATGGTTTCCCTTATTTGCAATAACTAGTATATGTCTGAGACAAACAGAAACTGTCAGACAAGTTGATGTTAAGCGAAATGAACCCGAAGATAAGGATTTAATTTTTTTTCTTTCTTGCGATTGTTTCCAACATATTTATAAGATGATTTCTTTGTTGCTTTGTATGTACCTCCCCCATGGTATAACCCCTGCTTTCACTGTATTTGATGCTGATATAATTTGTGGAGGGGAAGGGAAAAAATAAACTGTTTAAGTAGGGTTACAGGTGGACCCATTACACCAATGAGATGTACAAGACGTTATGTCGAAAAATGAAGTTTACAAATTTGGCGGGGTGGGGGTGGGGGGTTGGGAGGGGTGGTACAGAGCTGTGAATGTTGACTTACCTTAATTACAAGGAATGTCATTTCCTGGACTGGAAGATAATCTCTCCACACTTTGTCATCTAATACAATTTTTAAAAAAGGAAGCCTAATTTGGGCACCAGTGGCTCCTGACTATTATCCTAGATAATCGAGAGAATTTTATCTGAAGATTGCAGTTTGAAGTCAGCCCAGTGAGGAAAAATCTATGAGATTCTTATCTCCAATAAGTTTCTCAGAAAAAGCTGGAAGTGACAGTATGGTTCAAGTGGTGGTGTGCTAGCCATGAGCACCCAGACCCTCAGTTCTAAGCCTTAAGATAGGCAAAAAAAAGACCTGGAAATACTGAGGAAAGTTAACAGGTCAGAGAGTACAGTTTTTCTCTTCCCCCTCCAACCCTATTCACTTATACATGTGTCACTCTATTTCCAAGACTTTGGGCAGTCATTGGGAGCATTAAGAAATGGTGTGTGCAGGGGCTGGGAAGGTGGCTCAGTGGTAGAGTGCTTGCCTTGCATGCATGAGGCCCTGGGTTCGTTTCCTCAGCACCACATATGCAAAAAGAAAAAAAAGCCGAAAGTGGGGCTGTGGCTCAAGTGGTAGAGCGCTAGCCTTGAGCTGAAGAGCTGAGAGACAGCACCCAGGCCCAGAATTCAGGCCCCACAACTGGACGAAAAAAAAAAAAAAGAAATGGTGTGTGCAGAGAATCTACAAGTTACACATCTGACAAGTGATTGAAAATAGGATGTAATCATGCTCTTAAAACTCAACTCCTAAAGAATGAACACCCAATTAATCTACTGGCAAAGGAACTTAAATGACTTTTTTTCAAAACAAGAATACAATGGCCAATAAATACATGAAGAATTGGTCATTTCCCTGGACATGAAAGAAATATAAGCCAAAATGCATTGAATTTTATCTCACTCCATACAGAATTTCCATCACAAAGAACACAAATAGCATATGTTTGTCAGGAAAAGGAAACACTTATACACTGTTTTGGGAATATAAATTCCTACAGCTGGTGTGGAGATCACTACAGAGGTTCCTTTTAAAAGTAAAATTAGGGCTAGGAAGGTGGCTCAGTGGTAAAGTGCTTGCTTTCCATATATGAGGCTCTGGGTTCAATTCTTCAGCACTACATAAGCAGAAAAAGCCAGAAGTGGTGCTGTGGCTCAAGTGATAGAGCCCTAGCCTTGAGCTGAAGAGCGGAGGGACAGCACTGAAGCCCAGAGTTCAGGCCCCACGACCAACCCCCCCCCCAAATAAACCTAAATTACACTAAAATTAGGTCTGTGATATTATCTAGAGAAAACAGTGTTGATACTTCCAACGAATATAAGTCAAGATATAATAGACATGCTTGCACACTAGTGTTTACTGTGGTACTCTTCACAATGGGCAACCTATGGAAATAGATCAGCTATCTGCTGAAAGATTAATGTTAGAAAATGTGGTTTATACACAGAACAGTGTATTCTTTACACAAAAGCACAAATCCAATATGCTTGGTTGCAAGCTAATGGTAGCACTAAAATCATTATTTTAAGTAGTACAGTTTCAGAAAGACAAATGTCAACATGTTTTTTTCTCGTATATATGGAACTTGGAAGGATGAACATACAGAAATATTTACTGTGAATACACAACCAGACACATATTAAAAAGTGTATAATTTTAAGATTGAAGAGCTTATGGGGAAGGAAGATGGAAAAGGGAATATAAAAGGATAAATTTATCAAAGTACAATATATATTTATATGAATTTGGCTTTGCTACATTTACTGAAAGTTGCTTGAAAAATAAAGTAGAGGAGATGAGGAAAGAGAACAAACCTATAAGGGTGAAGTTAGATTAAACTATAACCTCCTTGGGCCCCAATAATCATACTGAATCATTTTTTAAACATAACTTGCATACTTAAGGTGATTGAATAAATCAAGTACAATTCAGGAGCCGTCCATTTGTGGACACTGGTTTATGGGGGAGTCTGAATTGAGATGGTAACAAAGGCTCAACTTGTATTTAATGTATGGATGAAACTATCTGATATAGATGTATTAAAGTAGAGCAATGAAAACCTGTTGCTATTGTTTTAAGAAAGTGGAAAGTGGATGAGAGTCATACAGAGGGTGTGAATCTTATCAGAGAAACATATGCATACAGAAATATCCAAATGTAAAACTCTTTTAATATATATATATTGTTTATTGTAAAGATACTGTACAGAAGGGTTACAGTTACAGGACTAAAGTAATGAATACATTTGCTATCGATCATTATTACCCCTCCTTTGTTTTTCCCTTACTACCCCATCTTCCTCACCTCCACAAACCCTCCCTCCTGCCCAAGTTATAAAGTTTATTTTCATTTTCAACATAGTGTCTTGTACATCTCCTTGTTACAATGGGTCAACCTGTATCCTTATATCAGCATTTTTTCCCAAATGTAACATTCTTGTACAAATAATAGGTGCTGTTAAATGCATTAAGTAAACACTAAAAATCATATAAATGTAGTAAATATTAAAAATTATATTAATAGTGATCTGAATAGAAGTGTATTTTCAGAGCTCTATTAGCTTTAAACAAAATTGAACAGAAGCTTGGTACTGGTTCATCACATCTGCGATCCTAGCTACTCAAGAGTCCAAGATCTAAGGATGGCAGTTCAAAGCTACTCTGGGCAGGGAAGTCCACTAGAGTTAGCTCTAATTAACCAACATAGAAACCAAATATGGAGCGTGACTCAAGTAGTAGAAAAGGAGCCTTGGGAGAAAAAGCAAAGGAACAGTTCCCAGGCTCTGAATTCAAACCACAGCATCAGTATAAATAAATTGAGCAGAAAGCAGAGAGTGTTTGTGTGAATCCCACATTTTCTCACCTTCAGGAAATCCCCTAGTAATAACATGTTACATTAGTGTGTCATGTACCACAATGTATTAGCCAATGTCAAGATGTCATTATTTTTTCAGTCCTTGACTTACCCTATGATTCACATTTTGTGTCTGGCATTGCTTGAATTTGGCTAATATATCATATTTACCCAGCACTACAGCATTGTTCACAGTAAGTTCACTGGAAATATCTCTAGGGTAAGGAAGATCTTTCCATGAATTTTGAGTTTCATGTATGTTGGCGGATAGAAAACAATGGAGTAACTTTTCACTATTTTCTTAAGATTTGGGGGGAGGGGAAGAAGGTTGGGGAGAGAATGATTTCTTCCATAGCCACATGATCGAAAAAAC